TCCCCCAATTCTACAGAAATTTTCCAATCAATGGAAGCTTAACATATGTGATCATGCCGGGCAATTTATGCAAAAAACTTAATAAGCACTGACATTAAATTCATCACTCACTGGTTTCATTGTTAAGGTTCTACCAAGATGTACTGAGCAAAATAAGTGCAACATCAACAAACGGCACTGAATTTGTTCACATATGGAGGGGATAATATTTAGTTTTTAAATGGTGGAGTTGCCCAGAAAAGTGGAAAGAAGTTAAAAAAAATCTTCAGTCATTTGTGCAATGTGGAATTCCAGTGCTTCTTTCCAGTAATCCTACCTAACACCACAGTGAAGCTGATCTGTATTAATGCTATTTTTCTATCCTATTTCTAAATCCAAGACTGGGGGTAGGTAGGGGTGGGGGGAAGGTGGAAATCAGGCTTACTAGAACAGCAACATCTTTCTATGAACTATCCTAGAGTATCCTGTACATAGCAGAAATAATTATTAGATCAACAGGTCACATTGTCAAAAGATATGAAGTGATTTATTTCATTTACCAGTTTAAATAAGTGTAGTTTACATTTCTAGCTTATTTTAAAATAGAACACACCCCAAACACTGAACTTCTAAAGCATATGAATACTACCTCTTAATGTCTTCTTGCGTTTCCTTTATAGATTCAATGGCACTCTGTAGTTCACCCAGGTCTGTCCCCTTCTTTCTGATTCTTGTATTATGCTTTAGTAGTTGAGCTATAAAAATATGCAAGATGTAATTTGCAAGAATGGTTAGCTAGGTCAAGGCTAAACACCCTTAATCCTACGACAAATAAAAATGGTTTAAAACATGCATTTGGTGATTTTTTTCCCCTGAATTTGAAGTTCTGCTAAAAGCTTTGTTTTTTGTTATTTATCTATATGAAGCACAAATAAAATTAGCTGATCTTGTTGAGCTGAGTACTGAAGTTTCAGTTATAAGCTACTACTAATATTTGCATTAATTCAATCTGCCATAAACATGGAACTATGTTTTAAAAGAATGTCTCCCAGTTTGATAAAGGAAACACTCCGTTATAAGTGTACAGACAGTTTCAGAAATGCTAATATAAAGGTAAGCCTATTTAAATTACCATTATGCTTAAGACATTACAAGTTTCTGATATCCCACTTCTAATGCAATGATCAATTCACGCTGTGTTATGCATTTAGTTTTTCTGTGAATACAGACCCAAGGAACTAGGACTGTAAGTTATCCAGTCTCAGTAGCTATTTTATACTACAAATATTGTGAAATAATAGCTTTATTGAACAGATGCAGCTTAACCCACCTTCACTTCCAGAGGAGTCTTGATTATCTGGTTCTGGAGAGGAGAAACCACACTCCCCTTTCTTTTGCTGACTGGCTAGCTTTCGCTTTATTTTTGGAACACTAACCTGCAAATGACATTTATCTTTATCTACATGGAACCAAAATTGTAGTAAAAAAAATCCATTTTACAAGAGTGGCTGTTTTGTATCAGATAAAACACAAGACATCATAGAAAGCTTGAGTTAATATTAGCAATGTAAAGCCAGTCCAAGGTCTGGAGGGCTTACATTAGATCATTTGCAACATACCAGGTGCTTTCTATCCAAGTCAGTTTTAATGCTTACCACACAGTAGTTAGAGGGCAAGATTAGGAACTGACTGACTGGGCTGTATTTCTCTAGAAGAGTAAACACAGTCAATGTTTGAGGAGCTCCAAATTTAAAACTTGACTCCGCAAGTCTCATCTTGGTTATGATTACTGTGACCCAAGTAAGAACGTACCATTGGGGTCCTATGTCGAACTTTTGTTTGGATGGCGCCATCTTTTTCAAACTGTATCATATCATTCAGTAGATCCCATGGTCTGGTACTATACAGAGAATAGACACAATTAGTTGGAATCATAGAATCACAACCTAATTAAGAGGAAAAGCATTTACATGCTCCTACTGTAAGGAAAGGATTCAAACATGCATATATTAAAGTAAATAGTGCCAGTCTGACACCCACACATATGAACCCCAACAAGATAAGTACAAGTAAGGAAGCTTGCTGATCATCCTGCTGCCATGCCTCTGTCCCAAGCTAGAGGGTCTATATGCTTAAAGATGAGGGGGCAGCTAAGTGTCCAAGTCCCGGTCACTATCTACTCTCACTAATAAGAAAGACTAACACAGCAACCAATGTGAAGTTTGATAAAATGTGCGCCTATATTTATATATACATATTTTTAACTTTTTGCTGGAATATACCATATTCTGCATCTTCATAGGAAAAAAAACAAAAAACAAAAACTTGTGCTCTTCAAGAGGAAATGCGGTATCTAGTTCTTCTATAGAACATTTCATCCATAGCTCTCAAAGTTCCATGATGGGTCTAAGAGCAGTTCCATTATATGTGAATATTTCTGATGGACAATCCTCCTCCTCTAGCTAGATATAACTCTTATTAAAAAGGTACAGAGTTGTCAGGATTGATCTCAAAACCAATCTCAGACATGATAATGTGTGTAGTAGGTGCTGGGGGGTAAGACCACCCTTTTGAATATTTTGCTTTTTGCCCCTTTGAGTACATACAAGTATCTAGTATTGCAAAAGAAACAATACCATCTCCAACGTTCACCCCATAATAATTCACTAGAAAAAGGCTCAATTTTGCCATCAGTCTAAGAACTAAACCTCACTGAAGTTGCTAGGAAGTGCCATTAAGCATCAACAGGCAGACAAGGTAAGAGTCATACTTGTTTGTATACTTGCCGAGTTACAGCTCTATCCTCCGATGCAGAGCCACAAGCCTTTAAAAGCAAACCGTGTGTGTGTCATATTTGGAAGATGATAAGAACTGTTGGGACTCCCCTACACTAGGGTTACCATACGTCCAGGTTTTCCTGGACATGTCTTCTTTTTGGATCCTTCAATCTCTGTCTGGGCAGTTTGTTTGTTTTTTTACTCTGATCAAATGTCTAGGATCTTGGTCAGCTCAACTTTGAAGTTTTTCTTGGCCTGCCCTAGCAAGGAGCTGTTTGGGTCTGAGGAAGCAGGGGAGGGAGACTGGAGGCAGGGCGTGCACATATGTGGCCAGCATGCATCCAGGCAGGGTTGTGGGAGCAGCCCCAGCAGTTGGATAGAGGTAAGTCTGTGGTGGGGGGGTAGGGGCGCACGCACACACAGCTAGATACCTGTATCTATATATGTCTGTGAGGAAGATGTGTGTGTGGAGAGGAGGGATTCCCAGGGCACATTTGCAGACACAGGGAATGGCAGGGTGAAATACATGCCAGGAATCCCCTGCAGGGACATGCATGCCCACTTTGTGCTTGCAGATACATGCCCCAGGAATACCTCTGCAGGAGCAGATTCCCAAAGCATGTATATTGTGCTGTCGTACCAGGACTCAGGGCACATGTCTGCAGGCAGAACTCCCAACGTTTTTAGCCAACAATCCCATAATCTCCTATATGTATATTGGAATTGAGAACACATGCTACCCTTTAAGGAGCTAAGGGAATAGGGGACAATATTTGATGAGCTCATTAAATATTGAATGAGTAGCTTTAAGTGCAAACACACACACACTCCAATGACTCACTCTGCATATCTGTAATGCCACTCCCCTGCAACTAAATCTTGTTCAAACAGTTTGCAGATCCATTCTTCACCCTTAAGTTTTCTTTCTTTGGCAGCCCTTCTCTGAGCTTCCTCCAGAACATATTTCTCTTGAGTAGCTTCTGTTTGGTCTTTATTGTTTATAGCTCGAGTCACTTGTTGCCAAAGTCTAGGCAATAAAATATGCAATAAAATAAATATGCAATAAAATAAGGTTGAAGGATTAGAATTTAAGTGACAGATAAGTGCAAGTAACAATTTATTTTAAAGTGAGCAAATCTCACTTACACAAAGGTTGCCATTTACTATGTTACTAAACTTTTCAATACAAATAGTTTTTCCCTGAGCCAAAATACTTCTGTAAACAAACTTTAGAGGGGTTTTTTACTCACTATGCAGATTGGGAAACAAGACACACCAGGAAAGCAAACTACTTGCTCAAAGTCCCAAAAGTCTGCAATGGAACCAGAACCCAGGTCACTTTCTCCAAATCCAATATTTTTAAATTAACAGTCCCATATCCTCTCATATGCATACTGGGATAGAGAACACACACCATCCTTTAAAGGAGCTAATTGAATAGAGCTGGACTATTCATATTTAATGAACTTACTTCTCTGACTCAAAGTCATTTTGCTCCTCAAACTTCACAGTGTATCTTGTTAATCTGCGCTGTCTGATCTCATCTGTTGGATTCCAAAAGGTCTCTGAAACTTCTGTCTTTTTGTCACTGATGAAAACTTCGCTATCCTGCAATTTTTAGGATTCAGTTATCAAATACTACAAAATTACACCAGTTACAATCTGAGGAATGAGTGCCACAAAAAAGGCACTTGCTTGGAAAAAGAGGGATTTATTTCCTTGGCACACCTGACTGGGAATATTCAAAGGCAGTTCAAAACCAGGTTTTATTCCTTCCACTACTGCCACTAACTTGAAAGTTTTAGATTAAACTAATATTTTTAAGCAATGCATAAGAGAAAACTGCAATGCATTTCACATGGCATTTCTTCCTAGCATCTTAACTCAGAATAATTTTATAATCAAAAGCATCGTTATTCAGCAATCAAGAAAACAGAAGAAATACACAAGTTGGTTTCTGTTCTCACCTAAACTTTATCGTCTGTATGTTTTGACAAGATCCAATTAAGCCTAGCTAACTTTTATATGAGCTGGAAGAAAAAGTAGCAGTGAACTGTGCATTTCACTGCAAAAATCTGTCTCCCCTTCTCGTTTTTAATAAATTGTTAAGTTATCTAAACATATGGTACTTTATTAATAAGATTTTTAGTTGATTGACATTGACAGAAAAGAATCATACTGCAATGCACAGGAATTCCACAGATACAATCCCTTTCCAGCCGACTATATCAAGCGATTTCATAAATGAACTGTTTGGAGCAGAGAGAGAGAGAGAGAGTACAGTATGAAGGAACACCTGCCACAGAGTGACTTAGTTTCACCCTTCAAGACCTAAACAAGTCTCGGGGGGGAAGAGACAAAACCACACACTTTGTTAGCACTTACAAAATATTGTACAAAAAATTAACATTTTTAAAAGCTAGGTTAAGTTTACAGTATTTATCGTCCTCAACCCTCCCCCCACCCCGCCCCACTCCCATCCTTCTGGGATTCAATTACGTTTCACTGGCAAGACTGCAACCTTTTCTCCATATCTGGCAGTCATAGCTTCATAGTTGGTAGGGTCGGAAGGGACCTGAGGAGATCATCTAGTCCGACCCCCTGCTGTGGCAGGAAAGAATACTGGGGTCAAACGACCCCGGCCAGATGTTCGTCCAGCCTCCTTTTAAAGACCCCCAGGGTAGGAGCCAGTACCACTTATTTTGGAAGTTGGTTCCAGGTCCTAGCCGCCCTGACAGTGAAATAGCGCTTCCTAATGTCTAGCCTGAAACTACCCTCCGCTAGCTTGTATCTGTTGTTTCTTGTTCCCCTGAGCAATCCCGGGAGTTACAGGGACTCTCCCAATGCCTGCCGGTCCCCCTTGACTAGTTTGTAGACTGCCACTGGATACCCTCTCAGCCTTCTCTTTTGGAGGCTGAACAGGTTCAGGTCCCTCAGCCTCTCCTCCTAGGGCCTGCCCTGCTGACCCCCGATCATGTGGGTGGTCCTTCTTTGGACCCTCTCCATATTGGCCACATCCCTCCTGAAGTTCAGCACCCAGAACTGGACGCAGTACTCCAGCTGCGGCCTGACCAGTGTCACATAGAGGGGGAAGATCACCTCCTTGAACCAGTTTGAGATGCATCTGTGGATGCACAACAAGGTATGGTTGGCCTTCCTGACCGCATCCCCACACTGTCAGCCCATGTTCATTATAGCATCAATAATGACTCCAAGATCCTTTTCTGTCTCACCACTGGCGAGAAGGGAGTTCCCCAGCTTTTAGGTGTGCCGCTGGTTCTTCCTCCCCAGGTGCATTCCCCTGCACTTGTCAGTGTTGAACCCCATCCTGTTCTCTTCGGCTCACTCCTGTAACCTGTCTAGATCCACTTGCAGCCTGTTCCTTCCTATTAGCATAGCCACTTCCCCCCACATCTTAGTGTCATCTGCAAACTTGAACAGGGTGCTTTCTACCCCCTCACCCAAGTCACTGATGAAGATGTTGAATAGTGTGGGCCTGAGG